ATTGCAGTCGATTATTCTTCTCACATTCGACTGTGATTGGTCAATTTCTTACTCTTACAACCTAATCCACTACTGCTACTGTCATTGTAGACCGCATTAGGCGTCGTCTATAATACACGGAGTAAGAAGTAAGAGTAAGAAATTGACCAATCACAATCGAATGTGAGAAGAATAATCGACTATGATTGGTCAATTTCTTACTCTTACTTTTTACTCCGTGTATTGTAGATGGGCCTTGAGTGGCTGCTGCTTGATCCGTTGTACATAATGATTGATAAAGAGTAGCACGTCTAATTGTCGAATAAATATCTTTCTCGTTGCTTACAATATTATTTTGGTCAATTTCTTACTCTTACTTCTTACTCCGTGTATTGTAGACGACGCCTTATGCGTTATGCCTTATACATTATGCGGGGTCTACAGTAGAAGTCGTAGCGGTCGTAGAGTCTTAAGTCGTAAAAAATTAATCAATCGCAATCGAATATAACAAGAATAATCGACTATGATTAATAAATTTTCTACGACTTAAGACCCTACGACCGCTACAACTTCTATTGTAGACCCCGCATTACGCAAAAGTCTGTGTCGCGGCCTTGACTGTACAACGACTTTAAAGTGTATTGAGTGCGCATCCACTCTGCCAGTGAAAAACGCTATCAATAGTTTTGCAACCGTTTTATGATTCGTTGCGCTGATTGAATTATACTTTTATAGGCCTTCTACAATAAGCCATTACCCTGGATCTACAATAGGGTTTTAAGCCTTAAGCCATAAGAAATGGGCGAATCACAGTCGCTTATTCTTCTCGGATTCGACTGTAATTGGTCAGTTTCTTACGGCATAAGGCATAAAACACCTATTGTAGATCCGGACTTAGTCATAAATCAGAAGTCAGAAGTTAAAAAATGACGACTGTGATTGGTCAATTTTTAGTTTCTGACTTCTGCTTTATGACCAATGGCTTATTGTAGAAGGCCCTTTAGATTTAAAGGAATAATCCTATCTCAGCGAAGAATCACAAAACGGTTGCAAAACTGTTGAGTCTGCTGAACGCAGCCATTGATACACATATGTGTGCGTGGGGAATACCCGTATTGTAATAACATTTTGCTGATATGCACACGTAGGTTGGCACAGTACTGATGATTACGTTATCTGATATGTCTATTATTATCTGTCATCGCCAGTCAAGGACGGATAGCTGGAGAGTAGCGAGTTCATTTTTATTCACGGCCGAGCTTTATATGCTTATTTAAATATTCTGCATCGAACAAGTGCGAAATCTCATTTTCAACAATCAGGTAAATACATTGAAAATTTAATTGTTAGAAGAATAATCATTGTAGAAATTGTATGCTACGTTAATTATAATGAGTCATTCCAGACACATTTAATTCGCAAAATTGAATATGACGTATTTAATTATATATCTTTAAAAAATTAGGAATACTTATATATATTGGAACTTTATGTCTATTTGTTTAAATTTATACTATTTTTGTTTTAAATTAGCATTCTGTGTATCCAAGGACGCATAATTCTGTAATTTTCTGTACACGCCTACCGATAGCTATTGATGTCGTCATATATTTTGCGCAGATATTTTGTATGGTAAAAAAGCTTCGCAAAACACCGACAACCATCGGTAGGTGTGTATAAAAAGTTACAGAATAGCACCCCAGATGCAAAAATCAATATTATACTAGTATAGTATGTTAATGGATGCATTCAGCAGAGAAAGCAGTTTTACAACTGTTGTAAAATTCTTTAGTGTGATTGATCTTGCCCTTAGTTCCTTGAATCTAAATGTATAAACTAAAATATTCAAGAATTTTACAACAATTGCAAAGCTGCTTTCTCTGCTGAACGCAGCTGTTGATGACCAACACCTGTGAAAAAATATTTCATGTAAACATATATCCAAAAATGCTTTATTAGAAAGTTATAAAAACATTCAAAGATTTATAAACAGAATATACATTTACTAATGTATTTGTAGCACAATAGAAACATTTGATAGAATTTGATAGTCATAAGCAATGTTTAGTAGAATGTTTAATTTGCAACTGTTGAAAGTTTTCTTTGTGTTGATTAGATTATAGTTTTATATTGGATTATACTTTTACCTAGAAAATGAATAGTCTTATTGCAGCAAAGGAAACTAAACAGTTGCAAAATAAATATTCTGCTGAATGCAGCCATTAGTTCGTCATGAAAGCCTGCATATCAGAAGAATTTATTGTAACTATTGTAACAACTAATTATCAATAATGTCATAGTCAATAAATATTTGAAAATATTGAATCAGAGGGAATCGATTGTATATTTTAAAATGAGATGAAAATTATAGAAATAAACATATTACTAAAGTACTTATAATTTCATTAGTTCAATATCTAGTGAATTTGTTAATTTTTATAATTTTCACTTCATTTCCAAATATATCTTCTCTGAAAGAATGCAGGCTTTCATTCATCAAACTACCTAAGTAGCGCAGCAGCGCTTGCAAAGCGCTAAAAAAGTGCTTACATGCGCTGTTTTAGCACTTTTTCAACGCTTTGTAAGCGCGTGTGCTACTTGAGTAATGTTACCAAATTTTTTTGCATATTTCTACTTGCAAGAAATAATATTGTAGTAAATGAATATTACTCATAAATTTTTTAATATTTATAACTTCTTAATTAAGCGTTTTCAGACGTAAGTTTTATATAAACTTTTTTCATATACTCGACCTCATTAACATATAAGTTTGATCTCTTTGCAGATATTCTGTATATATGCATACGTATATAATAAAATTAATAAAAATAATTATAAATATACGTCTTACTTATAAATATAGTTAACCTTAGCAATACACTTTTTTTTTACCCTTGATATACACACTCGGGTCCCTGGAATCCCATCCATATTTTGTTACCGTAACTTCCGTAAAAATGGATATATTTCAATTAATTTTTTTTTTTTTCATACAATCGATAGAATTGATTAAGGAATAAGTTCATGATGTGTAAAAGTCAATAGAATTAAGGAACTTCGAAATACATTGGTTCAAAGAAAAAGAAAAATTTACTCTTATAATTATATAAAAAAAGAAAAGTTTAGAAACACAAAAAATGTCGATTTATTGTACTAGGACCCCAGTGTGTATAGCTAGGGTTAATATATTTTCAAGTTCTTTTATTGTTCTTCTGCAATAAAAAATGTCTTGATTAAATTTAATATATTATAATTGTCAAGGTCATGACTCTAAGTAGCCTCCAACAAGTTATTAACAAAAGAGTTTGAAAAATTATGTTTCTTTCTACTATATAAAATAAAAATTTTCTGCTTTAAAATATATTTTACGACTGTTCATGTGAAGTGAGTTTCACTCCACCTCCCCCCTTGCCAAGGGGCGTCCGATTTTCCACGCGAAGTGAGTTTCACCCCACCTCCTCTTCCCCTGCTTTAAGAACACACGACTTCCACGCGAAGCGACTGGTAAGAGCAAGGGGAGAGGTAGGATAGAACTCCCTTCGCGTGGAAAATCATTAGATACGTAAGCAAAAAAAGTATAGAACAGTTTTTAATATTATATATAGACGAAATAAAACATTTTTTTCAAACTTTTTTTGTTATTAACTTTTTAATCGATAACGAGCAATGGCTAAGGACCGGTTGTTCCACCTTGTGGTAAATTTTACCTGTAAGATAAATCTAGTAATCCGCGCATGTGATTAGGTAATCTTGCTACTTACCCAACATAAAATTTACCAAAAGGTGGAACAACTGGCCCTAAAAGTTGTTGGAGATTACTTAGAGTCATGATCTTAACAACATACATCAAAGTCAAGATCGTCAGAGAGGCTTCCCCTAAAGTGAACATTTACTCTTATCATTTTAATTAAAAATAAAATTAAGTAAAGGGCATATAAGAGTCAATAATCAGTACAACTTAAAAGTAAAATAAAGACATATAATATAATTTCTCGATATCAGTTCTTACAATAACTTGGTGGTATAATGTCTCAATTGTCTAATAATTACATGTTTCGACAATTACATGTTGACTTTTGTCACGTTCACATGCGTTAAATTTGTCATCCAGTTTGCTTTAATATGTGATTGATTTAATATGTGACTTACTTTCCATAAAAGTTCTTGACCATTATTGGACACACATATTAATTTTTATTATACATTGTGACTTCTCCGTTTGATTGAAATTTCAACATTCAGTCTACCAACTGTTTGGGAACTATTTTTGTCTATCAACGTATAATCCATCAGAGATCGCTAACTTAAATATTCATTTCATGGTTTTTCTATTCACTTGTTTACTGCGTTTTACGACTACAAATTTTGTGAATCTGAGGGTGGCTCAATCAAGAAGTCGAAACATGTAATCGTTAGACAATTGAGACATTATATCACCAAGTTATTGTAAGAACTGATATCGAGAAATTTTATTATATGTCTTTATTTTACTTTTAAGTTTTACTGATTATTGACTCTTATATGCCCTTTACTTAATTTTATTTTTATTTGATAACAAGAGTCTTTATACATATTTATTATTTTCTTATCATTTGAATACTGAGAAATTTATAACATATTTTATTAATTTTATAATTAAATATATAATAATAAAATTGTAAAATTAAATCTTAAAAATAAATTTAAAATAATTGTAAAATTAAACAAAATATAATTAATTGTCCGTATAAATGTCAAATTTAGTTATAAGTGCACGCAAAAAGTACAAACATAGCGCAGTAAATTTGTATCATTGAGGGCCGGTTGTTCCACCTCTTGGTAAATTTTACCTGTTGATTAAGTAGCAAGATTACCCAATCACATGCGTGGATTATCAGATTTACCTCACAGGTAAAATTTATCAAAAGTTGGAACATTGGCCCTGATGCACTGAATATTGTTTTCGTAAATGATAACATGAAAAACCTTATTACACCTGTTAACATTTTTTTAGACAACAGAAAAATTGTCTTTGCATATACATAGATAATAGCAAACTTACCTTTCCTATCATAATTGAAAAAGCATTAATTTTTTTATGTTTGATAATTTTTTTCTTCCTTCTTTGTATCGATGTAAGAATTTTGTTCTTTTCTATAATTTTTACTTAAGCATTTACATTTTTTGTAAAAATCTTGTAAAAATTATTTTGTATTTTTAATCTGTACAATCTGATACAAAAATTTAGAGAATAAATCAAAGTTTATATTTTGAAAAAAGATTAATTAATTATATTTTTCTCTTTTTTTTTTTTTTTTCTAGTAAGATTTGCACTTATCATGGAAGTACACGCCCGAGCTCCAGATCCTTTAATAATAGATGGCGATATAGCCAGCAACTGGCAAAGCTGGAAAGAAGATTTTATTATATTCATGAATTTAACTGGGTATATTAATAAACCTAATGAAATCCGCGCAAATCTTTTAAAAAATCGGATTGGAAAAGTTGGTATTGATGCAATACAAAATTTTTCTTTTGACAATGTGGAAGATAAAGATGATATGGATATATTGATTGAAAAGCTTGAAAAATACTTTAATCCACCAAAAAAAGAAGTGGTTGAACGATACAATTTTTTTACAAGAGCAAAGAAGAAAAATGAGTCTATTGAACAATATATAAATATTTTAAAAGTACGTGTTATTTGTGATGTATATTTTTGTTGTATATTGCACACACACACACACACAC